TTTGTAATTTCATCAACGGAATAAACCTTTGACACGTTTAAAGTGGAAACTACTGCTATTGTTGCAAGGCTACTAAATCGTTTCATTTCGTTTCGTTTGGAATTGGGCTGGCTTTTTCTCAGGAAAAGCAATTTGCTGAATTGCATATAAATATTCAGGGGGATTTGACCGGGAATGAAATCGAGACTCCAGTCTTAATGAATTCATTAAGAAAAGAGGATGCCCTCAAGAGGTTCAAATATAACTCTATGGTAAAATCTGATATAATTTATTACAGTACTCGTATCATATCATGCTTTTTTAAATTACAGAGTGGCCCATTTTTCATATTTATGATTTACTAGTAATGATGGAAGCCTGATAAATTTATGTTTTTATTATTATCTATTAGTTAAAAAATTCGAATTAATTGTAGTTTTTTTTTTAATATTTTAATTGTATCAACAACAAAAAGTGTAGCAATAAAATGATTACATACTAATAGTAATAACACATAGTAATTGATTTTAATTTTCAAAGAAAAAATATGTTTTTTTTTTGCTTGACTGCAGGGATAAACTTATATTGTGGAGTGTTGGGAGAAACTCCTCCATCCACTGCAATTAAAAAACTTAATGAATGGGTTATAAATATTGTAGTTAAAGTTTAAAGCTGGGAATTGTTTTAAAATGGTTTGAAGTCGCACAGTTCTCCTACAAAGATTGTGGGAGAGTCGATCTTTGGGTAACTGTCTTACAGGCTTTTATTAAGTGGTTTCTACTGATTGGCTTGCGGTTGCAGAGTCCACTAAAAGCCCATTGTTTTGCTCTGTTTACTTGAAGTTTGCCTTAGTTTACACTTTCACCGTTTGGTCTGCAGGATACTGACTAAAATGTTGAATGGTATAAGAAGCTACCGCTGGTTGAATATAAAATATACTGTCTGTCTGTCCATCTGGCTGCAGTGGTTCAAGGGATTTGCACTTAGCTCCAATCTCCAAGTGAAAAGATACTCGTACAAAATAAATACGAGTGCTGCAATGATCACCATCTTGTCATGCAAATCCACAGATACACCCAGGCAAACATTATCGGACACTGCAAATCTGAGCTTAGCTTGTGGTCTGCGTCTTAGTGTGCGAGAGAGATGAGAGGCGGATGAGAGGCGAGCAAACGATTTAAGCAGATGCAAGAAACTATTCAGCAGTGAGGCAGCCTGAAATGTGTGCCACAGCAGATGCCAAAAAGGCGACCCGACCCCACCATTCCAATCCATGCCATTCCATAGCCAACATAGCCCCAGCATTGCTGTCTATATTCGAGATCCGAGGCAGGCATAAACAAGTTCTTTAGAGTAGATTGAAGTTCTATAATGCTGGCATATTTTGCATGGCTGAGTCCCGAATGGGCTGGGGAGCCTTTCTGCCTTCCGAGGGGTGATGGTGGGATTCCTTTGGAAATATTCCACACATACGACTACGACTATAAGCATGAAAAGTCTTGAGGCTGTGTGTGTGTGTGGCTGTCAGGTTTGTTTGAGGCATTCGGAATGCCATGCCCGAGCCTCTGAGCCAAAGTGTTGCGGCATTTGATGGGTGCCTCCATCTGTGTGAGTGTGTGCCTGTATTATGACAAGTATGGATGACATTTGTGGCGAAAAAAAGAAAATGGGGAGACCGGCTCTGGGAAGTCTAGAAGAAACTCAACCAAATCTCAAGGTGCGCAATTGGAGAACCTCACATTTTCCCAGCCGAACTATGGGTTGCAAGTTAAAGGATAATATAGTTATTAAAATGGACGAACCTAATCGAGTGTCTGTTGTTCCATGAAAATCACGCGATCATCTCTGGCGATGGCGTTTAAGGCATCCACATCGACACCCACTGACGGGACAACCCATTGACCTCGGCTCCAGTCTAAAGCTCGTTTATCCTGGCTGGCTTATCTATGTACGGGTTTGTGTAGGTGTGCGGCCGCAGGAGTGACGGGTTGTGGCTGGAGAGTAGCTGTGGCATAAGCGCCGCCGCCTTCATGATTTTTATAGCATTTGTTGCTGGTGCAGGAAATGCCTTTAGTGATTTCCGCATGTGGCCGCCGCCCCCGTCTCCGCCCCGGCCCTGTTTACACACCGAGCATATTGCGGTTGACACATTTTGTGCGTTTATGTTTTTGAAATGTGCTCGTTCTTTCTCCGTTCTATTCCCATTCCCCGGTATTCGCAGACTGCACGGGCATCATGTGCTCGTCCTAATCCATGTAACTGGAAGTAGAAAGCTTTTTCGGATCTTTCGGAACATCTGTACGTAGGAGCATACTTTTGGGAACATTTATTCGCTACATTACGAAAAGAGGTAACTCAAGAGAGGCAAATTTTATCCCTGACCTTAAAAATATGCAACTCCTCTTTGGGATGATTATTTGACTAAACATTGCTGCTGTTACTGTGGGAATAGCGGGTATCATTCAGTCGGAATGTCTTCTAAGTGCTGTTTCCTGACGCCACAGAGCGGGACACAGAATGAAAACGCTTCAGACAAATGCCATGAAAAATGCATAGCCAGTGGATGAGGATTTGGTGGAGCAGGAGGACGGGCAAGTGTGGTCCCCCATCCACTGGCTGGAGCTGGAAAGTGAAGCGTGAACAAAACGATTTTTGAAGTAACTATAAGCTAAATAGTTTGCTCTGTGGTGGGCAGGGACTGTGGGGACTAGTTCTTGTGTCATAATTAGGGCATTTGCACGTGCCTCTGAGCGAGGCAAGGCAGCGATAACTGTTGGCCCCAAACTTTTCTGGCTACTATCAACAGCTAAAAGCGTTAAAAGTTGCAACTTGCTTGAAAGTTGTACCTCGGATGCACGAGGCACGAGGTTGCCACTGGCAGTGCAACAATGATGATGCACCAACAGCAATCAGCAAGCCAACTGGCTTGCTGGCACCTACTCTCGAAAGGAAACCGTAGATAATAAGGCTGGGATAAGTTTTTATGTACATGCACTCCACTTACAGGGTGTAGTTATCCGTAGGCACTTATCCGTGCTCCCGCTCTCCCGTACACCCGTACTCCGTCACTCTTTCGTTCCGGCACTCCGGTTGCGCGCCTCCAGCCAAGGACATGTAGGATACGAGAACTGCACTTAAATGCAACTCCTGCAATGTTTTTCTTACACTCTTTTTTTTTTAGCTTATCAGACTTTTGCCGCAGGGCTATACATGCACACATATGTACATCTTTTATACACACACATGCACATACAGACAATGGCGTGCTGTTTTCTGGCTTCTGGCTGCAATTAGGATGGGGTAAGCCAAATGGGGGTCGCGGGTGACGGTCTCCCTTGTAAGCCTGGCCATTGAGCTCCATTTTGATGCGGCCATAAACGAGTTGTCATTATTAATGCTGGCACGCCCCACCATTCACCCCACACATCCAGCCGGCCAGCCCCCTCTGATTCCGCCCAATAAACAGAAGCATTATTGAGTGGCGCTCCCGAAAAAGGAGATTGCGTATACGCAGCATATCCCATGAGTGCGAGAACTTTTGCCGCAGGCGGGCAGAAATCCTCGGGCATTATCATGCGATTATTAGCCAATATATTATTTCGTATCATTTCTTATACGCATACGCAAACGCATACATCTCCGCCGTGTGTGTGTTTGGCTCCACTCTTAGCGAAGCCATAAATTTTTATTTGTTGCAGCAAAGGGTTGTAAAGCGTCGCCATTATGTTGGAGCTTTTCTTTTGAGTGTTTTCGGGCTTGGATGGTTTTGGATTCTTGTTTTTATTTCCCATCGCACAGACGTGCACAAGATGCGTCAAAAACTGTGGGGGGGCGGAGTGCCAGCGAATGAGAGCTGGGCGTGGCAGCTGAATTTATGGCCGCAAATTGATTGTAAGTGCATAACGAGAGCAGAGTACAAGTTAAGGAAATGCCGAATGTTTCACTGTTTGATTCCCGTTCGAGTGTGGCCCACAGCCGCAGTCACAGCCGCAGTCACAGCCGCAGTCACAGCCGCAGTCACAGCCGCAGTCACAGCCACAGTCACAGCCACAGCTGGCCTTGTTTAACCGCCGCCAAAAGACAGCAGTGGGAAGTGGACTGTCGGCCCTTAGCATGGCCACAAAAACAATCAAAACTGTTGACCGCAATTCGCAGCAATTGGTTCTGCCATTCGTTTTGTCAGTTTTTAGCTTTTTGTGGCTAAGCGATTCAGGGTGGGTTGAGGGGTGGAGGGGTGGAGGGGAATGAATGTGGATGTGGATATAGATGCTATGCTTGCCACAGTTTGGACTGAGAAATATGAAACAAGACAGGGAAACAGCTTCATTGCTGCTTGTTTACTTATTTGTTGTTTGATTTGATTCCTTCTTTTGCCACAGCACAGCCCTGGAAATGCATATTGAAAATTGAACAAACAAACTGGGGAAACTGGTGGAAAATGCAGTCAATTCTCCGTTGTGTTGTGTTGTGTTATGTTGTCTTCGCTCTGCTTGTCATTGGCAAACTGGGTCTGGCTGCCACATCTGGCTACATCGAAGGATTTTTCTACTTCTTTTGCTCCTCTTCCTGCCTCGACAACTGGCACATTGAGCGATGAGGTTTCCCCCATTTTGTTGCAGCGTGAGGGGACTCTTTCAAATTATTATAAATGTTGCCAAGAGAAACTATTAAATTACTAGGAGGGCTTCAAGAGTGGTGCACACAGGCATCTACACCCACCGAAATACATGGGAAATATGATTAATCTTCGACAATCACACAGTTGACTGCCTAAATTGTTTATAATTGGGGGGACTATTGAGCCGTCATGGATCGAAAATCGACGTACTTGCAGCCGCCTAATAAGATAATTGGCATCGCTTCACAATTAAGAGATTAATATTGACCGTTGAGCGCTTAAGCGTTTCGATAATAGATTTTGATTATTATAGGGACAAAGATTATTGTTAGTATATAAGTGCTTGAATTTCCACTACCCCGCACCCTTTCTGTGAATGATTTCGGGCGTCGATTTATTGATTTTAGTGCTCTCTGTAGTTGGAGTACACCATCGATCCATTGACAGTATACTTAAGAACCTTTTTGTGATACAAACTGAACTGCAGAGCATACTCGCCCGTCTCGATGGGGAAACGAGTGCGGAACTTTTCCACATCGAACTCTAGCTTCACAAGTTTCAGCACCGTATTTTCCTGAGAAAGAAATGGGGGAAGGAAGGGCTTACTAAACTCTGGAAATAATGGAATCCACACCATGCGCTCACCATGAAAGGACAGGAGTAGCTGCGAGTTATATAGGGTATGAGGTAGGCCGCAGCCAGGCGGAAGACGATCCTGTTGTTGTTATTTGGCTTGGTCTTATTCCTATCCAAGAAATCGCACACGTTCAGCGTGATGTTGTAGAGAAAAGGTCGCCAGCCATTAGCACGTTTGAAAAACTCCAAGCGAACCTTCGAGAATACGAGTATTGGGTGGATTCGCATCGTTCAAGGATTCAACTGTGGATAACTCACGGTCAAGTGACTGGGGACTGTGTGCTTGTTCAGATACGAAATGCTGATCGAGTTCCTGTACCGATTGATGGCCTGTATTTTGCACAGAAGAAACTCCCCATAGTCCTTGTCCAGGCTAGTACAGTGGAGGCTCTTGAACTTGCTCTCCACTTGCGGAGAGCCCAGCAGCAATATCCAGAGGATCCCCGCTATCAACATGGCTCCTGGATGGTCATTTGAAGACTAAACACAAATAGGTCATAGCTCGTTTTTAAGAGCAAGTTTTGCGGTATTTATGGTCATTATATTCACTTGACTACACAGTATAATGGGAATTAGCATTAAATTGATTTCAACAGTTCAAAAACACTCCAGCCCGTGCAGGTCCTTGAACGAAAGTAAAGGAATTACTTATTGGGAAGTACTCTCAATTGATTTCTGAGCCACAAGAATTTTTAGAAGTCCATCACAGGTCATATGTAACTTCTCTCATGCATGATTCATTTTACATAAACTGCACATATTTAAACTGCTCACTTGAGCGAAACTTTGCCTATCAATTGCCTCTGCAACAATTATACGTAATAACCATTCAGCCACTCAGCTGAAACGCCGTCGCTGCTAACAGTCCGTTCAATTGGTAGAACTAATTGCTCTCAAACATTCCTGTACATGTCGCATTTGTAGTATTAGTTGTCAGATATTTATGGTTTTATCCATACTTATTTCGACTTTACACACATTTTTTTCGCTCCTATAATCCTCTCTTAGCGAGTAATAAATACGCACTGTCTCACCAATACCACAAACGGACTAGAATAGGCAAAAGACAAGAATAACGCAGTAGAAAAGTAACGAAGTTTTCTTCGGCCGATAAGAAAATAAGCAGAAGAGCAAAAGATGCACTGAAAATAATCTCGACGTCATTTTTGCACCAAATCCAACAGACGAAAGTCCACTGAGAGTTATAGTTGAAAAAAATATAAAAGAATATAAATAGGATTATCATATTCGTGATTGCGATTGAAAGAATATTGAAGTATAAGGTTATTTTCTCAATGTTAATTATAGCTCCCATTCGAGCATTCGTGCCGGGCTTAAGTAGTCAAATTAATGAGTAGATACAAGGAACCATCTGTTTGGAAATTCTATCAAAAGGAAACCCTCTCCATTTGCATACCCATAAAATTGTATTTTATCTCAATTAGCGCAAATATTTTGCTGCTGGCACTGCCATTGCCATGGCCATTGGTGGTAGCGTCGTTAGTCCGGGGGCAAAGTGGCAGGCAGCCAGGAAGCTGATGCTGCAGCTGCATTAGCATGGCTCGAAAGCAAATTTGACGCTGCGGCCCCCCTCATTTTATTTGCTTGGCAAATGCTTTTTCTTTCGTTTACCCACACACCGACAAAAAGGAGGAGAATGAGCGAAAAGAAGAGAATCCTTTTTGTGCAATTTCTATTGCAAACATTTGAAGAGGCTTTTAGTGGGGGAGGCTGGCGGGCGGGCGAAAATCAATTGCAAACGCATTAAAAATTGTGCAAAATTAATGACATCATTAGTAGTTGGAACGGACCCCCAACCCCGAAAACCCCCAAGCCCCAAAGCTGGCAAGTGGAGTTTGTCATTTGTCAAATGCAAACAGGACCACTGTCACTGATGGCAATTTGAGTGAGCGGACGGCAGGAATGAATGCATGTAATGAAAGCCAACAAAACATTAGAACCGCACACAGAGACAGGACAGAGAGTGCCACACACAGCACGTAGCACAGTGTCAGAGAAGGGCAGGGGTCTGAGACCAGGTCCGGGTCCGGGTCCGCAGGCCGACAGCTGATGCTGATGACGGACGTGACAGCTGAACAATGCTGGAGACCCCGCCACGACCCCAAAGAGTAGGCGGCCAAAATGAATTCTTTATAAATAAAGGTTCGTTCTCCTTTTTTAATAAATGAATAGCCCCGAATATCACACGGCAGCCGGAAAGTTCAAAATTGTAGCCAAGTTCGGCCCACAACAAAATCGCCTACAAAATGAATGTATCAAATGGATAACTTTTGCCTGACCAGGCCGTCGCGCTCTATGTATGTATGTGTAAGTCTCTTATGAAAATATGTACGTACGTAATGGAGTTCATTCACTAACAGATTATGGTCCCATGGATTATATACGGCTGTGAAAAGGCATGGCCAAGCCCCAAACAGTTTTCACCACTCTTGTGGCCACCCGAAAAGTACTAATAAATAAAAATAAATCAACAGAAATTGAATTTCTGCTTAACTTTGAAACTGTTAAATATTTTTGAATTTATTTGAGTGCATGGAATATTTATAACTCTGAATTGAATATTGAATAAGACCGTAAATAAAACATAAAATAATTCCCACAGAGAAGAGATAGATTCTGTGATTTTTAATTGGATCTTCTTCATAAGGAAGTGTATGACGGAGTTCTACTAACAAAAAAACATGTTTTTTTGTTGAAAGATAGCTAAACTGAGAAAGTTACACAAAGCTGTGGCCTCCCTCCGTCTCTTTCTCACTTTGTTAGCCCAGTGTCTCTCTCTCTCTTTCTCTCTGAGTTTGTGGCACAGGTGGTCAGCAGTGGCAAGCAAATGATGTCAGCCATTACAATGCACGAGTCAAAAGTTGAATTTTAATCAAAAAACGACAAAAAAAGTAAGAGAATAAAGCTCCAATCCACAGAGACACACACACAAAGAAAGAGGTCACATGTTGTCTCCATGTGGAGAGTGTGCGTGTGTGGCCAGCATGATTAATGAGACGGTGTTGAACGTTTGCCTGACATGGACCCAACCACATACAGACACATATAAGCATAGTAGCTGTGTGGGGCCGTGGGAATATCCCCCTAAGTATGCAACACAAATTGAATTCGACTCGACTGCATGCGACATCGCTCAATTTGTTAGCCTTGAGAGCTGGCTCCGTTCCGTCCAATTGTTCAATTTGTAAAAAAACACAAAGACTGAACATGTCAAAAACCTGTCGACTACTAAATACCCAATAGGCGAAATCACCTTCCAGCGATTCCAAAGAATGAAATCTAAAGAAGTAGAAACTAGATCATAATTATTCAATACATACTAGTCTACAGCGTTAATTAATACAAGTATTCAAACTACGAATATACCCTTGTGCTCTACGAATACCGTTGGTGTAAGAGTGTGTGTGTGTGCCTAAGCGCTTAGCGATATGACCTTGCTGGACCCAAGTTGGAATTGAAATCTAACACGCAGACAAATAATAATATTTGCCTAACCTCAAAAGCCCCAAGAGCCTCCCAGTCAGCCCTTCAGTCATCCCCTTCATAGGTTCAGGTTACTCAAGTACATACAGACCCACAAACACATACACACACACGTACGAACCCAGAGACACATTAAATACACTAATATGTATGTTATTTAAGTTAAATTTAGTTGAAACTAGCAACTGAAAGGAAAGCGACCCGACAGAACGAACCCGTCTGGATGCAGCGAGAGGGCCTTCTTTCTTTTCACATATAAATTTTACAAGTATATAGCCCCAGACCCAGACGGAAGACCGCACAAAATCATAAAATACAAACTGAAACTAGAGCGTGGGGGTGCAGCACGATGGCACGATGGTAGTATGGCAGTGTGGCAGGATGCCTGAAAGGGCGAAGTAGTGAAATCGAAGTTCGATAATTTATTTTCCTGCCATTCCAAGCGATTTCTCTCATGCGGCGTAGTACATTTATTACTTATGCTAAGAAGCAGACTCATGCACATATATAAGTAAACGAAGGATGTGTGTGGTGTGGCATTGGCACGGGATCTGAAAGTTGCATGCCTCGGATTATATATGAGTGCGATTATTTTAAGTTACGTTGCTTAAATATCAGCCAACGTATGAGGGAGCTGGCATTTTATATTGAAAATATATAAATGTATATAATCCATATAGCAGCAACACAGACATATTCCTCAAATATCATTAATTTGCAGGCGAATTCTGCAATTCTTACCTAGAAATATATATAGAAATATATGTACATATGTTGATGACTGAAAAAAGTTCAGTAAATTGATTAAATTTCTCTGACGATGTTTCAATGTTTCACTGTTTACCAATTATCACTTCACCCTTCACCCTCAATCGTTATGATAAGTAATCAGCCTGGACTTTACTCTTGCTCATTATGGTCACTCTTTCTTTCCCTTTTTCTCTCTGCAGTCAATTTTTAACCAACAACAGCTTTTTAGATCGTTAAACGGCTTATGAAAACTCACTCAACTCCAGTGACTCCCGCCCAGTCAATGACACTCTGAAAAGCTGGTCACCAGTCAACGAAAAGCTTCCAAAACTTCCATCCATTTGAACAATTTTAATGCGCTAAATAGATGGATGGAGTAGGCAGTGAGGGCTGGGCTGGAAGGGAAAAACTCATTATTATGGAAAACTTTTATGCGCCCAGTCGCTCTTGTTAACTTTGCTTGTAATTTCGCCTCTTAGCAAGGTATAATTTTAATAGCATACTTCTCTCATCACTTCGAACATCGTTGGAAACACACTCGGAGAATGGCATTGCATCCATATCCATCTATATAGAGCCGTTGTTAATGGAGCACGCTGCAGCCATTTCCAGCCAGGACGAGGACGACAGCCGTATAAATTTCGGTTTGCATACTTTTCGGTCATTAGATATTTAGTATAATGTGAGTTTTATGCTCGCCGCGGGCTTAACAACGATATCAAAAATTGTATTATGATCGATCGCATACCTGGGACGAATACGTGAAATTTTACGAGCTGGCCATTAAAAAATATTTCTCCCATCCCCATTTACCTTTGTCCCAAAAAAGATTATGGATTTAATGAGAGCCAGAGATGGAAGGCTATAATTGAATTTCTATGATAATTTAATGGGCTGCTAAGCACTTGGAGGAGTGCTTTCCCGTGGAACTAATTCCGGAAGGTGCTCTGCCTTTGATGAATAGTTACGGAACAGTGTGCAGCTTTACGTGATTTATTCGTTGTTACGCTAGGAGCAACAGACTTCCACAATAGACTAGACTCGATGTACTCTAATGGTTTGATTGATGCCATGCCTCCCATCGAAGAGTATTTTCCTGTTTTCTGTTAAAGCGCCCTGGGATGCTTACTGTTGCTGCTGGTCTGTTGTGAAATTTGAATCAAAGATCTATGGCAGACAAATGCAGTTGGCTTCCACTCAAT